GTATTGATAGAGCAGTCGCATTAGTCTCTCAAGATATCAAAAATCAAATAGGCAATCAAGAAAACATAAAACGTGATTTGATAATTAATGTGTAGATTTTGTGGAAAACACCCAAAGAAGCATATAGCCTAGACTTAAACATAAATGTATTTATTAAATAAAGATAATCTTTTAAGTAATGGAAAAAATTAGGAAATAAGGAGGAATCAAAAAAGTTAACTTTCGGAAAGGATCAACGCAAGGAAGTTTACAGAAGCAGATCACCAGACAAGTTTCGAGCAAGTATTATAAGCTATTTGCTGGCTATTTATACTACTTATTTAGTCATATACTGTATGATGACTGTAAATGCAGTATCTTAAGAAAGAAAGGATTAATTTGACATATATTATTTTAATGTATTTTTACCAAAAAAAACTTTAGGCGTCACCATAAAATGAATTTAGGGAATTTTGGTGTTAAAGGATTTAATTCAAGTCTTTATTTCTTTATCCATTTAAAGTTACCTTCTTCAAAAACTGGACTTTGTCTTGCATCATCTTGAAACTTTTCTGTATCCTCTTCTTTACTCTTGAGATCGTTCTGTCTAGATTGGCTTGAGATGTCGGCCACATTCTGAGTATTCCCACTCTCATCAGACTCGACTCCACTTTCAAAATCATCCACGTATTCTAAAGGAGAAAATGTTATAAGTTTATTCAAAAAAAATATATATAAGGGTAGCTTGAGTAACTCCTCTATATATTTAAACAGTAAATAGTTATTCTGCTCTGAATAGTGTCAAAAAAGCTGATTATTTAAACTTTTATATTTTTCGCAAATCTTTACTTCTTCAGGCATGAAGGCAACTTTTAAAAAGATTGAGCCGAGTAACGGAATACGTCAAAAAACGCCATTACTAGTGTCACAAGATAATACGTATCCCGTGACTATTGCACAAAAAATCTATTGAAAGGAACTCAGAATTCCAAATAAAGATAGGCTAATCCATCCAATTCCTTCAAGTGTGCCTTAGAAAAAAATTTTACATGCAGATTAGGACCACGTTAGAAAGGGCTGCAATTTACCAAGTAATGACAATCATGTCTCTATAGTTCGACTGTCTTACATAAATATAATAAAAAGTAATTTAACTAAGAGTAGCTTGACAGCCATCAATATGGAATCAAAAAGTTATGATAACTTAAAAATACAATTAAAATTTAGTAAGATAAAATGTATAAACATAGTATATGCGACTAAGAGTTGGGGTTCGAGGTATCTATTGTTTCATTATTGTTGAGCTTACTTCCATTTCGAGTGAAATTGTTTGGTGAAGAGATTCGAAGGTCGATTCCACCAGAAGACGACGACGGATTCCTCTTGATCAGCTCTCGAATGGCTTTACTGGAACAGTCATGGTAACACGGTTTACAAGGTAATCTCTTTTGACTCAGGTGAAAAGGTGCAAAGCTTTTGTCCGTCATATGACGAACATCATCAGAGCAAGGTATTATCGTCACAACCAAATTCAGGCTAACGAGTCAAGAAAACTCAACGAAAAATCCATAAAAAGCTGTATATATATACACACTATATCTGACCTCTTTAATGAGGTATAAAGTAATTTGGTTGGTTAGGGTCATATGTCAACCTCGAGGCCTGTGAGTGTATCTGTATCTGTAATATGTATGTTCCTGTCTGCGTCCACCTATGCAGTAAGCCAGAAGTGATGACTCAAAGTAACTAGGTCAGCAAAAGTAACGTCTGTTCTCGGCCATCAAGATTTGATGACCACTATCTTCCCTTATTACATATATGTTATAACTCTCACTCCGATTGCGTAAAGTGGTACACACATCTGGTTATGTTGATGAGCCATTTTATTTTTGGTTTAAATGCGAGAGAGAAAGAGTGGGCTAAAAGTACAGAGAAGTGACTATGATTAGAACCAAGACAAGAAAAAAGTAGTTTAATCGCACCCCTTTTTTCAGGCGGCTCAGCACCCTCTGTATGCTTAAGTCTATTAATTAAGGACAAGTAATTTTTACTTATCTTCTTGCCGGTTGAAGGATATGTGGACAAGTAAGGAAGTGGGGAATAAAAATTATTTTCAGGGAAACTACAACACTTTCTTCAGTTATCCCCACTTTTAGAGAGAAAGTTGACCAAATATACAGATCAAGTTGCTACACAATAATGTGTTCATGTGGTCGCTTTTATGTTAGAGAGACTTGTCGTCCCATTCGACATAGGTTGTCTAAGCACAAAAGCGACTGCAGGGACGGTTGGGTTCAAAAATTTGAGCTGGTTGAGGATAAGACAGAACTTGGACACCAGATTGAATGGTCTCAAACTTTTCGTTTTGTCGTTATGGCATGTCTGTGTCTAAACGAAAAATTAGAGAAGTGATAGAAATAAATCTAATAGGGAATACATTTAACGTTAGGAATACCGGTAAAAAGATAAGTAAAAATTACTTGTGCTTAATTAATAGACTAAAGGATAGAGAGGGTATTGAGCCGCCTGCAAAATGGAGGCGATTTAACTAGTCTTTTCTTGTCTTCGTTCTAATCATAATCTCTTCTCTAAACTTTTAGCCCACTTATTCTCTCACATTCAGACCAAAATAAATGGCTCATCAACATAACCAGACGTATGTACCACTTTACGCAATCGGAGTGATAGTTATAATATATATGTAATAAGGGAAAATAGTGGTCATCAAATCTTGATGGCCGAGAAAAGACGTTATTTTGCTGTTCTAGTTACTTTGAGCCATCACTGCTGGCTTCGTGCATAGGTGAACGCATACAGGGACATACACATATAGATAAATACACACTTGCATACTTCGAGGTTGACATATGGCTGAAACCAACCAGATCAGTTTATACTTTATCAAAGAGTCTAAATATATTAGTTAATATAAAGTTTTTAAGGGATGTACTGGTGAGTTTTCTTGACTCGTTAGCTTGAATTTTGTTTTTAAGATGATACCTTGCTCTGATATGACGGACGAAGGCTTAACACGTGTTTACCGGAATCAAAGGAGATTACCTCAGAAACAGTGTCACCCTGAATGTTCCAGTAAAGCCAATCGACAGCTAATCAAGAAGAATCCGCCATCGTCTTCTGGTGGAATCGACCTCTTGAATCGCTTCACCAAACACTTTTACTCGAAATGGAAGTAAGCCCAACAGATATAAACCTAGTCTTGCAGACCTCTAAGCAACAGAATATTTCTAAATATATTTTCTGCTCCTCTCCATAGAAATCAGAAGCTATAGGTTATTGACCCCTGGCTATGGCCAGCGGCACGTGGTGAAAAAATTTTAGGGCAAATAGGGAACTCTGATTTGAACAGTCAAGGATTCGCAAAGTTTTGTATTTGAGAATGATTGTCCGATTAAAATATAGTGTTAAAGTTAAGATACCCCAGTGGTGGAATGATGCCTTAGCCACCGATAATTGGCCTCTCTAGGATAAGTTGTTAAAGATTTACATTTGACTTCGCTGGGCAAGGACTATCTTGCCTAGTGACTAGTTTATACTAGAACTCGGTAGGCAAAAAGGCGCATTTAGAAAGAAATAACCTAACTAATACATTTGATCAGACTAATCCTTTTGAAAAAGATATGGACTAAAAGAGATAGAAGCTGCAGTAAGATATAGATAAAAGCCCACTTTTTTGATACATAGTATAGGAAAATTTTGTCGATAATTCCCTTTATTAAACTCTACGAAGAAATATTGAAGCGATCTTGGGAACTTTAAGCTGTTTACACAGTAG